ACAAGTTATGGGAATGCAAACTATCCAGCAACGCTGCCAATTCTGAAAGTTGACAACTATGAGAATTGGTGCAAGCAGATGAAAGTCCTATTAAGGTGTCAAGGCCTTTGGGACCTTGTAAAAGATGGAGTCGAAGCGCTTGGCGAAAACGCTTCAGAAGAAGAAAAGAAGACATATACAGAATCTGAGAAGCAGAGTTATAAAGCATTATTTATAATTCATCAATGTGTCAGCCCAGACAACTTCGAAAAGATTAGTGATTCAGAATCTACAAAAGAAGCTTGGGAGATCCTTGAGAAGTCTTTTGGAGGCGCTGAGAAGGTGAAAGAAGTGAGGTTACAAACTCACAAAAGAACCTATGAACTGCTTCAGATGGAAGACAGTGAAAACATATCTGATTTCTTCACTAGAGTTACAAAACTAGTAAATCAAATCAAAACATGTGGAGAAACATTAACAACAAGAGCTGTTGTTTCGAAGATCCTGAGATCCTTAGCCCCGAAGTTCGACCACATAGTGGTGGCGATAGAAGAAGGGAAAGACTTGTCGAAATTGACAAAGGAAGAGCTTCAAGGGACGCTCGAATCTCATGAACAAAGAATGAACGAAAGAGCTGCAGGAAAATCGAAGAGTGATGTAGCCTTGCAGGCACATTCAGCAAAAGAGACCAAAGGCAAAGGAAAGTATTTCGACAGAAGTAGAGGTGGCTACAACAAATCGAATGGCAGAGGAAACCAAATCGAAGGAGACGTGTCGAATCAAAGAAGACCACACCAAGGCAACCAAAGAGGTGGTGCTGCAAACAGAGGAAGAGGTGGTGGTCGAAAACCTGATAAGAGTCACATTGAATGTTATAACTGTCAGAAGTATGGTCACTATTCGAGTGATTGTCCAGAAAAACGAAAGAATCAAGAAAGTGATGCAAAGCTGGCAAAACATGAAGAAGAAGAAGAGATGATGCTGATGGTCATAACAAGAGATGAAGATAGATTCAAGGACCAATGGTACTTGGATTCAGGATGTTCATCACATATGTCTGGAAGGAAAGACTGGTTCGTCAACATAAAACCCTCAACGAAAAATTTGGTAAAATTTGCGAATGACAACACCCTAGCAGCTGAAGGTATTGGTGATGTTATGATCATGAGGAAAGATGGCAAGAAGTCAGTAATTTCGAATGTATTGTACATACCAGGCATGAAGAGCAATTTTCTCAGTATAGGGCAGTTGGTCGAAAAGAATTATAAAGTGTCAATCGAAGATAAGTTGATGAGAGTCGTTGATGCAAATGGGAGATTAATCTTGAAGGCTCCTATGTCTCAGAATCGAACCTTCAAGATTGAACTAAATGTGATGGAGCACAAGTGCCTTTCGAGTGCAGCTAGCAGAGATGAATGGATATAGCATTATAGACTTGGTCATCTCAACTTCAGAGACATCAGAGATTTGAAGAGAAGAAATATGGTTTCAGGATTGCCTGAAATTGACATTCCAAACGAAGTATGTGAAGAATGTGTGCAGGCAAAGCAACACAAGAACAGCTTCAGCAAAGATGCAGGAAGCAGATCGAAGGCTAATCTCGAAGTCATATACTCTGATGTATGTGGACCAATCCAGGTGGATTCGATGGGAGGTAACAAATACTTTGTTACATTCAAAGATGATTTCAGTCGAAAGCTATGGACTTACCTGATCAAGAAGAAAAGTGAAGTGTTCGAAGTATTTATCAAGTTCAAGTCCATGGTCGAACGACAAAGTGGTCGAAAGCTCAAAGTTTTGAGAACTGATGGTGGAGGAGAATATGTGTCGAAAGATTTCGACAGATTATGTGAAAAAGAAGGGATTGTGCATGAGGTGGTACCACCCTATACTCCACAGCAAAATGGAATTGCAGAAAGGAAAAATCGAACCATCATGAACATGGTGAGAAGTATGTTGAAAGGCAAGAATTTACCCAAAGAGTTCTGGGGTGAAGCTGTTTCGACTGCAACATACATTTTGAACAGAAGTCCTACAAAAAAACTAGAAGGAATTACTCCAGAAGAATGTTGGTCTGGTGTGAAGCCTAGCTTGAGTCATCTGAAAGTATTTGGATCTATTGCACATAGACATGTGCCAGATCAGTTGAGAAAGAAACTTGATGACAAGTCAAGTCAAATGATCCTAGTTGGATATCATTCGACAGGAGGCTACAAGTTGTTCGACCCAGAGAACAAGAAGATTGTGATCAGCAGGGACGTGATCATAGATGAGTTCAAAGAATGGGATTGGACTGCAAATGTCAAGAAAGATTCAGTGGGAATCTTATTCGAAGAGCCAGAAACTCAAGTCGAAAGAAAAGTTCGACAAGAGGAGCCAACAGATATACCCAGTACAAGCAGACCTCAAAGAACAAGACGCATGCCTGCAAGATTGCAAGATTGTGTGATTACATCAGATGATGTAATAGATGATGAAGGTGAGCTGGTACATTATGCTTTCTATGCAGATGTCGAACCTGTTAATGCAGCTGAAGCATTAAAGGATTCGAAGTGGGTGAAAGCAATGAACGAAGAAGTAAAGTCTATCGAAGACAACAACACTTGGTCACTTGTTGAATTGCCTCAAGGCAAGAAGGCAATTGATGTCAAGTGGGTATACAAAGTGAAGACTAATTCGAAAGGTGAAGTAACTCGACACAAAGCAAGACTTGTGGCGAAAGGATTTCTACAGAAAGAAGGAATAGACTTCGACGAAGTTTTTGCACCTGTTGCTAGGATCGAAACAATCAGGTTGGTTGTTTGTCTAGCAGAAATCAACAGTTGGCACATATGTCAGATGGACGTGAAGTGTGCATTCCTAAATGGACCCTTAGATGAAGAAGTTTATGTTAAACAACCAGTTGGGTTTGTGAAACATGACGAAGAAAGAAAGGTGTACAGGCTACATAAAGCCCTGTATGGTTTGAAACAAGCTCCAAGGGCTTGGAATAAGAAAATTGATAGTTTTCTAAGGGAGAAGGAATTTGTGAAGTGCATAACTGAACATGGAGTATATGTAAGAAGAAGCAAGAGTAAATTGCTTATACTATGTCTCTATGTAGATGATTTGTTGATAACAGGTAGCTGCAAGAGTGAGATCGAAGACTTCAAAGTTGATCTTAGCAAGGAATTCGAAATGTCTGATTTGGGTGAGATTTCATATTTCCTTGGTATCGAATTCTACAAAAGCAGTAGAGGTTTGATGATGCATCAAAGAAGATATGCAGGGGAAATTCTCAAGAGGTTTGAGATGGAAGAATGCAACTCAACTTCGACACCTGCAGAACCAAGACTACAACTGTTGAAAGATGCAGATGAAGATGATGTTGATCCAACCCAATACAGAAGACTTATTGGATCATTGAGATACCTTTGTCATACAAGGCCTGACTTAGCATACAGTGTAGGTATGGTAAGTAGATTCATGCAGAAGCCAAAGGTATCACATTTAGCAGCTGTGAAGAGGATACTAAGGTATCTCAAAGGAACTTTCGATTATGGCATTCTGTTTCCTGCAGTTGATAAAGGAAAAGAATGCAAGCTAGTGGGATACACTGATTCGAGTTGGTGTAGTGATGCTGAAGATTGAAAGTCAACAGCAGGATATGTGTTTATGCTAGGTGGTGCAACAATTGCTTGGAGTTCGAGAAAAGAACCAGTAGTAGCATTATCATCATGCGAAGCAAAATACATAGCTGCTTCTCTTTGTGCATGCCAAGCAACCTGGATGGTGAACTTGGTCGAAGAGATAACAGGGAAAAATCATGGAGCAATTACCATGAAGATAGACAGCATGTCAGCTATCAATCTGGCGAAGAACCCAATAGCACATGGTCGAAGTAAGCACATCGAAATGAGGTTCCATTATCTTCGAGAGCGGGTAGCAAATGGGAAGATGAATTTGGAACACTGCAGAACTGAGAATCAGATTGCAGACATCATGACGAAGGGAGTGCAAGTCGAAGTATTCAGAAAACTAAGGGCCATGATGAACTTAGACAGTTTAGACACAATGAATTAGGTGGTGTGTTAAATTGTAATTCATAGGTGTCAAAATAAGGTTTGATTTGTTTAGATTTAAATAGATTTGAATTTAAATCTAGATTAGATTTGATTTAGTAAAGAGATATTTTGGGCTTGGGTTTAGCTTAGGGAGCAAGCTAACCTAAATCTATAAATAAGAGGGAGTAGCCCTTATTTTGAATTCAAGTCATTGAACTCATTCACAGTATTTTGCAGTTGCAAAGTGAATTAATAAAGTTTCCACAGTTTGTGGGCAGAATAGAAATTCTGCAGAAATATCTCCATTGTTATTTTATTTGTTTGTTTCATAACTTATCATCAAGTGGTGGTCGAAATTCATCATAGTATATTGGTGGATTTCCAACAAAAACTTCTTGAATTTAATCATACTTTCACTTTCAGTCTTTGATTAATTTATAACCTCTTCACACTCACTCATCTGACATGTTGTTTTGAACTACTTGGTCACAAATCTACTCTGAATTTAATTAACCAAAACCCTTAAGCACAACACGTTACTCTAATTGGATAGACAATATTTACCAAACTTCATGAGATAATGTATTGGTTTCATAACTACACGCAATACTGACTACTCTTCTATTATGCATAAGATTCACTTACTCCTTTTATAATTTTTTTATTTAAAAAAAAGTATAAGATTGATAATATAAAGTTGCACCGCTGCCACTTTTAAATGTCAGTTATCGTGATAGTTGATCTAACATTTTTTGCCTCAAGGTTGGCTGTCATAACAAATGATAGTTGTTGTTGATCTACCATTAATTCTACCACCCATAAAAATATTACACTCGTAGAGAATATCCCAATTTGTTCGGTTGATTAATCATCTCGTAATTTTGAATGAACTTAATTGAAAATACAAAAACTAATAAACTTTGATTACATTGAATAAGAAAATGGTTATTAATTACATGAAAGAGAAGCATAGCAGGATCAGAAGCTACAACCACAACAAAGGTAAAAAAAACAGAGAGTAAGTACAAGAAAAACAGCTTCAAAGGCAGAAACAACCTTAAAAACAACATCGTCCATGAATGAAAGAGGCAAAGTAAGCCTGTTCCACTTGAACAGTGATGATGACGGCCATAGAAACTTCAACCTTAATGATTCCTTTCTCAGTTTCTTCAACAACCTTCTTCTCTTTCCATTCCCAAACATTGACATTTCCTTCACTTTAATCGATTATTCAAACAAATTAAAAATAATTGATTTTGTGTTTTGGATTTTGCTTGAGATTTGGGGGTTATATCGGAGAGAAAAGGAAGCTTCCCCGTTGCCTTTTTGGTAGTACTTTTCGTAGTACTCACGGTTTTTCAGTGGAAGAAAAATATAGTTCATAAATGTTTTATTAATAATAATTGTCTTTCGTTTATAATAAAAACATTTGATACAAAATAATAAATTCTCTTTCACAAAATAATTGGGTTTTACTTAGATAAGCTAAAAGTTTATTTTAAAAAAAGAAAGAAAAAAAAAACTGAAACTGGAGTGAACAAACGAAAAACACATTAAATTACTATAATAATTGGTTTAATAGACTAATTATCAATACTAAAAATTATACTAAAATAATTAGACAAAAAAAATTATATTCAAATATTTTTATTATATACTAGAATTTAGATGAACACTCCATCTATCCTAAAAATTCTACTAAAATAATTAGACCGAGAAAATTATATTAAAACAATTTTATCATATATTAGAATTTAGATGAACACTCCATCTATTCACTTTTTTTTATTTATAGAAAATTAACAAAATGTTATTATATTTTTGAGAAAAGAAATGTGAAGTGATAATCTAAAATATTTTTATACTATTAACCAATAAAAAATATGTATTTAATTAAAATATATTTTTATTTTTAAATATTAATATGATATAATATGTATAAAGGTTTTGATTAATTGTATCTATAATATTGATTTATACTATATGTATATTATTCTTTAAACTCTTTTTTAAATTTAATTTAAATCTTAAAATGTTAAAAAATTACATATTTAAGATTTTTTTTTTTGGGTCAAACATATTTAAGAAGTTATGGTGAAATGTTTTATATTTTATTTAGAAGTAAAATAACTAACTTTCACTTACAACTATTTATTTATTTTAAAAAAATTGTAAAAAATGAAACATAAAATGAAAAAGAATATAGATTATATGTTTTTATATGTTATTATAGATTACTCAAAAATAAAATATAATAACTAAAAATGATATTTTGAAAGTTTAAAATCAAATTTATTTTGATGCAAAATTTAGTTCAAATTCATATCATCTATTAAAATTTGATTGTATTCATTTTTTATTTTAGATATAGGGTTAACTAATTATAGACGTTAATGTTTAAAAATATTTGAATTGTATTTATTAATTATTTATTTTGTCAATTAGTTTAATGGTTATAATTTATTTTTTAAAAGTAAACAATTGAGATGCCGCGAGTTCCAATTTGTTTAATATTTCTATATAATTATCAATTAACTTGATTTAACATAATAATTTGATTTTTATTTTAATCATTAGTAAAATGATACAAATGAATATTTGTAATAAATGAATAGTGTAAATATTTTTAGAAAAATGTTTATTTGTAAGAAAAAGTTAAAATAAGAAAAACAAGAATAAATCTCAACTATTTTTTTATCACAATTATCCTATAATTCCTGTTAAAAAGAAAATTTAATTTATAATAAATTAAAAATTATCCACTAAATTAATAACACAAATATATTTTTATATTTTTTATTCAAATTATTTTCGTACTAAATAACACTTCTCATATTTTTATATTAATTCAATACATAATAATTAATCTCAAATACTATTTATTAAAAGTAAAATATTTAATCATTTAAAAATAAATTGGTTATTTTGAAACTAAGGTTTTGGTAAATTTAAAAGTCACTATATAACTTGTGTTTTTGCTGAGAAAACTTTTAAGAATTTTCTTTTGAGGAGAGTTTGTTTTATGAATTGTGAGTTTAATTTCAGAATGTAAACTGAAATATTTTTTATGTTAATATTTGTTTTAAATTATAAAAAATTATATTTAAGAATTTTTGTTTTCAAAAACTTATTTTTATATAATTTTGTCATTTTTTATTTTCATATTATAAGATGAGAATCTTTTATTCTCATAATAACAATAAGAATTAACAATCTATAACTTTCTATTATCAAACATTTAATTCATTTAATATTTATTTTAAAATTTAAAATAAATATATTTTATAAATATTTTAAAAAATGAAACTACTCACTAAATAAGTAGGTGAGAATAGTATTTCCAATAATAATATTCTTAAAAATAGTATTTCTTAAATTAAAATCTTAATCCTTAAAAAAAGGCATTTTAGAAGTTATTGTGGTCATGATTTGGTGGTTTGAACTTGTGTGAGAAGTTTAAAGATAGAGGAGTAGTGCTCCACGTTTTGATAGAGTCAAGTCGTAACTGCGTGACGTGAGTTCGTATGCGCGTCTTATTAGATGAGAATAAGTTGTAGTAGTAGATGCCAAGTGGATGGATATTATTTCCTTTCTCATGCATTTAAAAAGTTATTGTTCTTTATTATATACTCATATTGATATAGTAGATAACTCAAAGTTGGAACAGAAAATAGATTGTGTCTTTTATAAGATGGAGAAGCATATCTAGTAAGAAAATATGACATTAGGTATTCAAATAATTTTATATAAAAGAAAAATGTACCGATACTCTCAACATTATTATAAGTAAGAAAATATGACATTAGGTATTCAAATAATTTTATATAAAAGAAAAATGTACCGATACTCTCAACATTATTATAAATATAATATTCTATGACAAATCTTTTACTTCAAGCATAGAACAACTGAGGTGTAAATTAAATATTTGTCACATTTTATTTTTAAAAAAAACTATTTATTCTCTAGATTGAATTGATAATTAAGAAAGACGTCTTAGAATTTCAACAATTATATTTTAATAATTTTTAATTTTTTTTAATATTTTTGTTTATGATTTATTATCTCAGTTGAGGTGGTAACTGATGGAAAAGTTGTTCATGTGACACGTTTTTAAATTTCTGCAACTGTATTATAACACTTTTTATTTTTGGTAAAATATTTTTTTGGTCCTTCAAGTTTACCTTAGAGTCTATTTTGGTCCTTTAAATTTAAAAAGTTTCAAACTGATCCTTTAATTATTCAAAAAGGTCCACGTTTATCCTTTCTGTCAGGTCCGTTAGTGAAAGTCAATGGAAGCGTATACGTGACATTCACTATGCCAAAATTGAATTTAGACAGCGCCACATAGACAGCGCTTATGCCATAAGCGCTGCTATAGGTTTTCAGAAGAAAAAAAATTAAAAAATTAGAGTAAGCGCTGCTAAAGGTATACCTTAGACAGCGCTTACTAAAAGCGCTGCTAAAGGCCTTACCATAGACAGCGCTTCCTTTCCCTAAACGCTGCTATAGGTTTTCAATAAAAAAAAAAAAATAAGCGCTGCTAAAGGGTATACCTTAGACAACGCTTACTAAAGGCGCTGCTAAAGGCTTTACCATAGCCAGCGCTTCCTTTCCCTAAGCGCTGCTAAAGGCTTTACCATAGCCAGCGCTTCCTTTCCCTAAGCGCTGCTATAGGTTTTCAATAAAAAAAATAAAAAATAAGAATAAGCGTTGCTAAAGGGTATACCTTAGACATCGCTTACTAAAAGCGCTGCTAAAGGTGTGATAAAGGGTATACCTTAGACAACGCTTTCAAGAAGCGCTGCTAAAGGCATTACACTAAAGCGCTGCTAAAGCCTTAAAGCGCTGCTAAAGGTAATACCTTTAGCAGCGCTTCTTGAAAGCGCTGTCTAAGGTAATTAAATAATTTCTAAATCCCTAAATTGGTTATCAGAAACCCCACTTTATACAAAACCCCACTTTATACACGCAACTGTTCATCTTCGTCTAACTCGTCTCCTCCCTCATCACCGTCCAACCGTGGTTCATCTTCTTCTCCAACTCGCTTCCTGATTCGTTGTATCGTTGCAAGCTTCGGATTCTCCAGTTATACGAGGCACGTGGTTCATCTTCTTCTCCAACTCGCTTCGGATTCGTTACCACCATCTCCTCGTGAAGAAGAAGTTTCACAAAAACAGTTTCACTATAAGGTAAAATTTCTTCATCCTTCTATATTTTTTTCTATGGTTAACTCAATGCAAGCACAAAGTCTGGTCTTCTTCATTTCTTTCTTCATCCTTTTAATTATGAAAGTGATTTTAGCAATTTACACATAAATTTTGGATTGATAGTTGTAGTTACAGTGATTAGTTTACTCTTTCTCCAGATTCGTTCAGTTTTCTCCTTCTATTGCAATTATTTAGGTTTCTCTTAGAGTTTAATTGATTTTTTTGAAATCTTCATTGTTGTTCTCCAATTTATAATTTTTCCGTTTGGATTTTGGAATGTTATTGTGGTATGATAATTGTAATCTAAGATTCTAAATAACAATGTGTCCATGGTTGAGGGTTTTCCATTTCACCAAGAATTTATTTTTAGGTTTTGTATCCCTCTGCCTTCCAGCCCCTGTTTTGTCGTCCAAAGCATTCTCATGCTTTTATACTTTTGTTTTGCTTTTATTGATGCATGGAAGTAAGAATTCTTCCCATCTCCAAACTTTAGCCAATCAATTTTTGCCCTTTGAATCAAAACATGTTCTTTTAGCTCATGCCATTTTATAAGCTCCTCATTCAACTTTTTTACATTCTCAATTTTGTGGATGTTCATTCTATCATTAATGAGTTCCTTCTGGGCCTGCAATGGTTATGTTCTAGCCTTTACAACTTTGTTGTTCAAGTTTGACAGGGGTTTACCAGGGTTTTCAAAATGGGTTGTAGTCTTTGCAATTTCTTCCACAGCACATACGTAGATCTACCTCTCATAGGTTCCCTTTATCTATTGCTCAAAACCTCCTCATAACCCTACAGATCGATTACACTATTGATTTACAAAATGCAAAAATCTCTGATGTTATCCAAGAAGAAGATAGCCCAGGCCAGAGAAAATCTTGAAAAAGCTCAAATTAATCTTTCTAGAGACATATTCAACAGACATTTGATTGAGGGTGTTAAAAATTGCACAGAGGAGCTGATTAGATGGAATGATACTGAGATAGCTATTCTGAGATA